CGAGTTTTCATCTCGAGATCCACAAAAGCTACAAGGCTGAAAATTTGGTGATTTAATCTACACATACGCGCCGGCTCGAATCCTCATAGGGCGCTCAGTTCCAAGTGGTTCTCACGTAGGGGCACGTGAAAGTTTTTTTGGTGGGAAAGCGTTCCCGGGAACGGCCCATGCTAGGAGGCTGGAACTTCATGGAGGCTGGAACTTCATGTTACTTGGCCGCGTCTAATCCAAAGACTTCAAATTCAGCCTTCATGCACCCTCAGGACTCACGTACGCACACCTCAAAGTTTAAACTGGCATCACGCCAACTCCAGATTTAAGATGATCAATAAACTGCAGAGAGCTGCAATTCTGCAGCTGTACTCGTCGCCCAATGTTGTGTCCGTGAAAGTAAATTGCTTGTCAGTTCTTCTGCATCTCACGTACGAACACGTGAAAAATTCACGCATGCGCTTTTGTAACTGGAGAATTGAGCCAGCCAAAGGCCCTGAACTTTCTGAGCATAATCGATGGTAGCCTTTGACAAGATGCACGCAAAAACGACTTACACATTACTTTCACATCTTATGTACGTCTCACGTGTACACACCTGAAATTTGACGTAACTTCGCATCCAGAGAATCTGGAGTGCTGAAACTTTCTGAGCGCCATCCACGGCCGTGCTTGAGTAACCGCGGGCGAAGAAAGCACTCACGTTGCCATTCACGTACGGACATGTGAAACTTGCCGTAACTCTGCAACCAGACAGCTGGAGTGCTGAAACTTTCTGAGCGTTACCCAGGACTATCTTTGAGCAATTGCTGGTGAAGAAAGCATTCACGTCGTCATTCACGTACGAACACGTGAAATTTGACGTAATTCTGCAACCAGAGCAGCTTGAGTACTGAAACTTTTTGAGCTCTTCCTAGGGCCGCCTTTAAGTAACCGCAAGCGAAGAAAGCACTCATGTTGCCACTCACGTACGAACACGTGAAATTTGCTATGACTCCGCAACCGAAGCACCCAGAGTGCTGAGTTTTTTGGGCATGGATTGGGAGTCATTGTAGTAATTTTCTAACAGTAGTGGTGGTCGGTCACAATTCTTTTAGCTAGAAGCATCTGCCCTGAAAAGCGTGCTACTGGCGCAAAAAACCTGCGGGGAAACTGCGCAAAGACGCAGCCTCGTACCGGCAGCCTGTACGCTTTCGACTAAGTTCACTTTTACTTTCAGTTTTCACCCATACTTTAATTTTACTCATTTCACTTTCTGACATATATGCTACTACAGCCGTCACACAGAGCAATTCAAATACCAAATAAGAACTTATAGGAATTAACGAGTGAAACGTTAACTTACAGGTACCAATTAACTGCTAAAAGATATCACTTTTTAGTACGAAGGCGATATCCTGTACCCCGATCCATCCAGAACTTCGCAGCTCATCTACACATATGAGGTTAGTTCCAGTCTTGGTAAATTTACTTCCTCATGTTCTTTTACAGCTTTTAAGCACCAATCGCATTTACCCATGCGCTTCTCCTCACTACAGGAAAATTAGTAGCTAGTCAGAGATTATAGGCGCAAAATTTGCAATAATTGGCGAAGTACCAAATAAAAAGCAGTTATCTGGCCAGAAGTCCGTCTTTGCTTGAGGCCACCATCGAAGATTCTCCCTCAGGATCACGTTCGTTGCAGTCCTCACCCAATCTGTTTCCAGGACAAAAACCCGGTCCCTAATTCGGGTTCCAAGGAATGTGTCTGTCCTACGGTTTTTTTGCACTCAATCATCTGTTACACTTTCCTCTTCTTTGACACCAAATCAAAATAACACTGCTTTCTCGATTACAAGATTAGCCGTGCGCTGTTTCTCGGATCATGCTATGTGACACTTTATAAAACAAACCCTCTCAGAAATCACGGAGCCATGATGAGACAAATATATGACAATCCTGCAACAAGGATAATATGTACCTTTGTGTGAGCTAAAGGTTTCAAATCCAGCTTGACTGCATACTGTACGAGAGGTATGCAGGCATAAAAAAGTTGCGATTTCGCAGCAACTGGCAGACTACGGACTAGCATGATGTTAAGTGTAAGAATTCTCATGTCTTGCTTCCTCAGCTTCCACTCGAAATCAGATGTTTCAAGCATGAAACCTGAACCCTATATTCAACTGACAAAAGATCTGTTGTTTCTAGATAGTCCAAGCAAAACCTTTTTCCTGGAGGGATTCAACATTCCTTCACAACGCAAGTTAAATTTCAGATTCAAAAGTTGCTGATTGCTGAGGAAGATCTTTATACGTTGCTAAACTACGAGGAATATATTGCTATTTGGAATATGAAAACTCTCAAGGAAGTCATAGTCCTCGGGAGCAGCAAGCTGTGCAAGCGTGCCGCAGAAAACTTTGGCGTCCCTTGCAGAAATATTAACTTGGCTACTTCGGAAAAGCAAAAAGTGGATGGGCAAGCTTCTCAGGGAACTTGAACTTCCCTTCACAATTACTGCAGGCATGTATATCGTATCGTGTTTGGGCAAAAGTATTTATGTCACCAATATTTTGCACATTATTTTTTATGGTTAAAGCATTACAACACATAACAAACCAAGCCTAATACTATAGGAATAGAACGGCACATGCAGTGTGATTCGCTTGTTTTCAACATAATTTTTCAAACAATAGGTCGCCTAATGAAAGAGTAAAATAATCACTCTAATGAATTCTGAAACTGCAAATGAAACAATTCAAAATGCGAACAATATGCAGAAACCCATGCAAAGACAAAACAGGCCCATAGCCTCGGAAAGCGCGAAGCCG